AGACGAGCACTTAACATGAGGAGGCATGGCATTGGGAAGACCCTTACAGACAAACACTAACCATGAGGAGGGATGGCATAGGGAAGACCATTACAGAGACCAGCACTAAACATGAGGATGGATGGCATTGGGAAGAACATTACAGACAAACACTAACCATGAGGAGGGATGGCATTGTGAAGACCATTACATAGACAAGCACTAAACATGGGGAGGGATGGCATTGGGAGAGACAAGCAGTAAGCATGATGAGGGATGGCATTGGGATGTCCATATGTATAACATTGGGAAGACAATTACAGAAAAACACTTGACACGAGGAGGTATGGCACTGTGAAGACCATTACAGAGACACGCACTAAACATGAGGAGCGATGGCATTGGGAAGACCCTTACAGACAAACACTAACCATGAGGAGGGATGGCACTGGGAAGCCCATTACAGACAAACACTAAAAATGAGGAGGGATGGCATTTGGAAGACCATTACAGAGAAAAGCACTAAACATGAGGTGGGATGGCATTGGGAAGAACATTACAGACAAACACTAAAAATGAGGAGGGATGGCATTACGAAGACCATAACAGACGCGGTCTAAACTTGAGGAGGGAGGGCATTGGGAAGACCATAACAGACAAACACTAAGCATGAGGAGGGATGGCAGTAGGAAGACCATAACAGACGAGCCCTAAGCATGAGGAGGGATGGCAGTAGGAAGACCATAACAGACGAGCACTGAGCATGAGGAGGGATGGCAGTGGGAAGACCATTACAGACGAACACTATACATGAGGAGGGATGGCGTTGGGAAGACCATTACATACAAACACTAAACATGAGACAAACACTAAACATGTGGAGGGATGGCATTGGGCAGACCATTACAGAGACAAGAACTAAACATGAGGAGGGGTGGCATTGGGAAGACCAGTACAGACAAACACTAAAGAGGAGGGATGGCATGGGGAAGTCCATTACAGAGCCAAGCACTAAACATGAGCATAACAGACGAGCACTGAGCATGAGGAGGGATGGCACTGGGGAGACCATTACAGAGACAAGAACTAAACATGAGGAGGGGTGGCATTAGGAAGACCATTACAGAGACAGGAACTAACATGAGGAGGGATGGGACTGGGAAGACCATTACGGACAAACACTAAACATGAGACAAACACTAAACATTAGGAGGGATGGCATTGGAAGACCATTACAGACACATAACAGACGAGCACTAAGCATGAGAAGGGATGGCATTAGGAAGACCATTACAGAAATACACTATGGCACTGGGAAGACTATAACAGACGAGCACTAAATATGAGAAGGGATGGCATTGCGAAGTCCATTACAGACAATCACTAAACATGAGGAGGGGTGGCATTGGGAAGACCAGCACAGAGACAAACACTAACCATGAGGAGGGATGGCAGTAGGAAGACCATAACAGACGAGCCCTAAGCATGAGGAGGGATGGCAGTAGGAAGACCATAACAGCCGAGCACATTACAGAAAAACACTAAACATGAGGAGAGATGGCATTGGGAAGACTATTACAGAGACAAACACTAACCATGAGGAGGGATGGCACTGGGAAGCCCATTACAGAGACAAACATTAAACATGAGGAGGGATGGCATTGGGAAGACCATTACAGAGATAAGCACTAAACATGAGGAGGGATGGCATTAGGAAGACCATAACAGACGAGCACTAAGCATGAGGAGGGATGGCATTGGGAAGACCATTACAGACAAACACTAAACATGAGAAGGGATGGCATTGGGAAGACCATTACAGAAAAACACTTGACATGAGGAGGTATGGCACTGGGAAGACCATTACAGAGACAAGCACTAAAGGAGGGATGGCATTGGGAAGACCATTACAGACAAACACTAACCATGAGGAGGGATGGCATTGGGAAGACCATTACGGACAAACACTAAACATGAGGAGGGATGGCATTGGGAAGACCATTACAGACGAGCACTAAACATGAGAAGGGATGGCATTGGGAAGTCCATTACAGAGACAAGCACTAAACATGAGGAGGGATGGCATTGGGAAGACCATTACAGAGACAAGCACTAAACATGAGGAGGGATGGCATTGGGAAGACCATTACAGAAAAACACTTGACATGAGGAGGGATGGCATTGGGAAGACCATTACAGAGAAGACAAACACTAAACATGAGGAGGGATGGCATTGGAAAGACCATTACAGACAAGCACTAAACATGAAAAGGGATGGCATTGGGAAGACCATTACAGAGACAAGCACTAAACATGAGGAGGGATGGCATTGGGAAGACCATTACAGACAAACATTAAACATGAGAAGGGATGGCATTGGGAAGACCATTACAGACAAAAACTTAACATGAGGAGGGATGGCATTGGGAAGACCATTACAGACAAAAACTTAACATGAGGAGGGATGGCATTGGGAAGACCATTACAGAGACAAGCACTAAACATGAGGAGGGATGGCATTGGGAAGACCATTACAGAGACAAGCACTAAACATGAGGAGGGATGGCATTGGGAAGACCATTACAGAGACAAGCACTAAACATGAGGAGGGATGGCATTGGGAAGACCATTACAGAGACAAGCACTAAACATGAGGAGGGATGGCATTGGGAAGACCATTACAGAGACAAGCACTAAACATGAGGAGGGATGGCATTGGGAAGACCATTACAGAGACAAGCACTAAACATGAGGAGGGATGGCATTGGGAAGACCATTACAGAGACAAGCACTAAACATGAGGAGGGATGGCATTGGGAAGACCATTACAGAGACAAGCACTAAACATGAGGAGGGATGGCATTGGGAAGACCATTACAGAGACAAGCACTAAACATGAGGAGGGATGGCATTGGGAAGACCATTACAGAGACAAGCACTAAACATGAGGAGGGATGGCATTGGGAAGACCATTACAGAGACAAGCACTAAACATGAGGAGGGATGGCATTGGGAAGACCATTACAGAGACAAGCACTAAACATGAGGAGGGATGGCATTGGGAAGACCATTACAGAGACAAGCACTAAACATGAGGAGGGATGGCATTGGGAAGACCATTACAGAGACAAGCACTAAACATGAGGAGGGATGGCATTGGGAAGACCATTACAGAGACAAGCACTAAACATGAGGAGGGATGGCATTGGGAAGACCATTACAGAGACAAGCACTAAACATGAGGAGGGATGGCATTGGGAAGACCATTACAGAGACAAGCACTAAACATGAGGAGGGATGGCATTGGGAAGACCATTACAGAGACAAGCACTAAACATGAGGAGGGATGGCATTGGGAAGACCATTACAGAGACAAGCACTAAACATGAGGAGGGATGGCATTGGGAAGACCATTACAGAGACAAGCACTAAACATGAGGAGGGATGGCATTGGGAAGACCATTACAGAGACAAGCACTAAACATGAGGAGGGATGGCATTGGGAAGACCATTACAGAGACAAGCACTAAACATGAGGAGGGATGGCATTGGGAAGACCATTACAGAGACAAGCACTAAACATGAGGAGGGATGGCATTGGGAAGACCATTACAGAGACAAGCACTAAACATGAGGAGGGATGGCATTGGGAAGACCATTACAGAGACAAGCACTAAACATGAGGAGGGATGGCATTGGGAAGACCATTACAGAGACAAGCACTAAACATGAGGAGGGATGGCATTGGGAAGACCATTACAGAGACAAGCACTAAACATGAGGAGGGATGGCATTGGGAAGACCATTACAGAGACAAGCACTAAACATGAGGAGGGATGGCATTGGGAAGACCATTACAGAGACAAGCACTAAACATGAGGAGGGATGGCATTGGGAAGACCATTACAGAGACAAGCACTAAACATGAGGAGGGATGGCATTGGGAAGACCATTACAGAGACAAGCACTAAACATGAGGAGGTATGGCATTGGGAAGACCATTACAGAGACAAGCACTAAACATGAGGAGGGGTGGCATTGGGAAGACCATTACAGACAAACACTAAACATGAGGAGGGGTGGCATTGGGAAGACCAATACAGAGACAAGCACTAAACATGAGGAGGGATGGCATGGGGAAGACCATTACAGACAAAAACTTAACATGAGGAGGGATGGCATTGGGAAGACCATTACAGAGACAAGCACTAAACATGAGAAGGGATGGCATTGGGAAGACTATTACAGAGAAGCACTAAACATGAGGAGGGATGGCATTGGGAAGACCATTACAGAGACAAGCACTAAACATGAGGAGGGATGGCATTGGGAAGACCATTACTGAGACTAGCACTAAACATGAGGAGGGATTGCAGAACCGAAGACTTTCTCAAAGCTTGGCTGGTAATGAATACCAGGTATGCTCAACAGGTAACTGAAAGAGCTATCGCTATACTTGTTAAACCGTGTCGGACAATTGATGTAGGTACGGATCCAAGAGGATTTGATATTTGTAATAACAGAGAGAAGTAGAGAGTCCCTACTTCAAGTGTTCGTCCATCACGCACCGTATCATACGGTTAATTCATTCGAAAGACATTCATCAACAGTACAAAAATGCTATTACGAAGCTTATTCGCTGGTTCGTCGCTCTTTACCGTGATGGTTACAGAAACAACTACGAAAGAAAATTCGTTTTTTTAATGATTTTTCTAAATTTTGACTAATCTTTGGCAGTCAGATTGGATTTGCCAGTCATTTTAGACTTTTCGAAGGGACCCCAGTGTCATTTTCTTCAGAAGGCAAATAGATGTATTTACATGAGTCGAAATTTCTTCTTTTTGTGGCTTTTCACCACAAAAAGAAGAGTTATCCCCCCAACATTTTGTTTATAAATATCAGCTGCAAATGATGTAAAATTGAAAACATAATCTAAACATCATAAGAGAAAACAACTGCAAAATTACACCTAAGTTCGATGACGTTATAACAGTTCTGAAAGCACCATGTGAAGCACTCACCTGAGTCGTTCCTCCTCATCTCTCTCAAACATCTCTTCTCTCTTGAAAACCCGTTTTAGTATATCGAGTTCTTCACTTGTGAGGTGCGAAATATCAGGGGAAGGTAGAACTGGGGGCATAATGTCACACAAAGAGTCGGAATCCTGCGAGCCATCATGTTGCTTAAGATTGTAGGATGCACTGTTATTGGTGAATGGGCTATACGACCTCCCCAGATGTGGCGCCGAAACGTTGTTGTAAGCTCTATGTTTGCTGGAAAATGGCTTCTTGAAGGTCTCGTCAACACTTACTGATGTTTTCCTGTTGAACGAGCCGTTCTGATGCTGACTTGCAGATGAGTTGTTATAACAGTCTAATAGTTTCAATGATGCCGAACTGTTGTAAGACCCGTGTTGATTGTCTGTTGAGCTTTTGTGCATATACTGATCCAGTGAAACACTTCTGAGGAAGACCTGTTAATACAAATACGTCTCCATCAGAAATATATTTAAAAGGCAGCTCGCAACAGAATTTTCTTTATTCTTAATAATTATTGACGTGAATTTTCTTATTGTAATGTATTAAATAGACAGTATAACATAATCAAACAACTTTATTATCCCGACAAGCTATACACTATAAAACTTTGCTGGAGTCAATTTTTAATCAGAAAACACAATAATTTATCTAACAATATCAAACGAGAATGAATTCACTGTTATGTCAATGAAATTGCATCAAAAGTCGAGTTGATGAAATCTCGAGGTATTTTATGGGTGTAGGTGATGGATAAATAACAGGAATAAGGCAGGTTTTTTTTACTGATATATTTTTTATTACACGTTTATTTGTGGGATATATCATTCAATCAATCTTATTAAAATTTGTTTTTATCAGTGAACGATATCAATTTCATATTGACCAATCAGAACACCGTTTTCTAAACGGTGCGTTTAACAGCCCGGGGATATCCTACGAGTGGTGATTAAGGGGCTAACGATGTCCAACATGTTATCAAAACAATGAAGATTAATTGTAAAAACGAGTAATTTGACAGAAATAATAAGATATACATGTATGTTTAATTTTGATGTTATAGCAAACAACATCAGTTACAGGAACATTTACACCATATTGTGATTGAGGGTCAAAGGTTATCCTATCAATTAGCATTGTTTGTCAAAATGGTTAACTTCATAGAAATAAAATAATATAGCAAAGGTTAGAAGTAATGAAAGCTAAAGCAATCATTGGTACGTATTTAGTAAATAATGAGTGAGGGTCAAAAGTTATTAAAATAAAGGGTTAAAGTGTCAGAACGATAGCAGATTATAATATAGTAAAACTCATCCTCGATACTCCAGGGGTTACGCTCACTTTCGCTCTCTGCACCCCCGGAATATATCATAGCAAAATCGAAGGCTCAGTGTGTACCACCTTGTTGATATGACTAGTTTGATCCATTGAAAAGAATCTCTCGGTCGCGTAACGGTATAATTGACTGGCTTCGAAGTCAGGTGTCGCTCTTCTGTAATCAGCCTGGCGATTGGTCAGTTTCTTTTTACTGAAACCAATCAAATAGCTGGCCGCGTGCCTTCAATTTTGCTATGACATATTCCAGGGGTGCAGGGAGAGAAAGTGAGCTTAACCCCTGGAGTATCGAGGTTGAATGAAAATATAAAGCGAGAAAACTACATTAAATTCGGACATATATACAGCGAACGAGGATTGAACGTTAATGATCATTAAAATAATGAGAATTAATTGTCAGAACAGTTAGTAAATATATCAAAATTAGAGGGAGTAGGTTTTGAAATGAGAAAATAATAGCAGTTATGTGTACATCTCGAACCTTTTTTATGTTAGAAGCCATTGTTTCTTGGATCCTCTCCTTGGCGTGTGATATTAGTAGCCATAGCCTCTACTCGTCTTGATAAGAACTATACCTCGTATGTGGGACGAGTAAAAGGGAACTGTTGTGAATCACTGCTGATTTCGTAGGTAATTCCATCAGCCAATCGATGTGTTGAAGGAAGGTTTATCGCACTGTAGAATATAAAATGGAAAGAACGATCACTATGGTAGTAGTTAAAACAAAATACTGTTTTAGTACCAACAATCTTCTTCCAAAGGTTAAGTATGAAACATACAAAAATGCTATCAAGGAGTGATTTTATCGCACGAAATTTCTAACAATGATCAACATCTTGAAGGAGTGCTGTTTAATTTTGAATTAAAAATGAGTTAAGCGTGTACCTGTATATTATGAACCGTGCCACTAATCAATAGAGATAAATGTTGCCAGTAAGACTACAGCGGAAATTGGGGGACTAAGAAATACACCAGCAGAGTCAATATCTTGTATTTTGAAATATGAACGCAAGACACAAACATCTGATTGCATCTTTACTGTTCTGTTATTGATAAAACAAAATTGATAGAACTGAGAAATCCACCAGCACAGTCTACCACCTTGTATTTTGAAAGATGAACTTGAAATATGAATCCTTTACGACAAGTCTGCAGCAGCATGATGTTAAGTCTCTCTTTCAAAAGGCCTTTTCATTCTATTCTGTCGTTCAGTAATATAAATACATATTCTGATAATTAACTTACTTTGTATTTCATATCAAATTTATTCTGATATCATGTTCTATTAAACACGAGTGGTCCGCGTTTGTTTAATTGAATGAGCCAGCACTGTTTGCTGTGTTGTCTATTTCAATGAGAGAAGCAATACACTGCGTTGAGATACCGTAGTGATGCGGGGAGGCTAGCTCTTGTGAGTTTGCCACAGTGATCAAAATCCATCATTCGGTGTACTTGTGTGCAAGTTTTTAACACATATTTTGAATATACTTTCGCACGTTTCTAAAATCTGTGTTAATATCAATACGTAGGTAGGTGTTCTAAGCCATCAGTACTGCAAAAGTTCATAATTTGAATATTGCGCAAAATATGAAAGAAAAAAAATAACACTCATGCCATTTCTAGACATTTATAGTCATGTCAGGCGTGGAGTTCTCCCTCTCTAATTCAGTCAACACAACGGCCTCCATCATCCAATCTCGACTTACAACACATCATCCTCCATCATCAAATCTCAACTTACAACACAACAACTTCCATCATCTAATATCAACATACATTACAGCATCCTCCATCATCTTATCTCGACTTACAACACAGCATCCTCCATCATCAAATCTCAACTTACAACACAACAACTTCCATCATCTAATATCAACATCATTACAGCATCCTCCATAATCTTATCTCGACTTACAACACAGCATCCTCCATCATCATATATCAACATACAACACAGCATCCTTCATCAACTTAGCTCGACTTATAACACAGCATCCTCCATCATCATATATTAACATACAACACAGCATCCTCCATCATCTTATCTCGACTTACAACACTGCATCCTCCATCATCAAATCTCAACATACAACACAACAAAGTCCATCATCATATATTAACATACAACACAGCATCCTTCACTAAATTTCATCTGACAACAAAACATTCCCCATCATCCAGGACATTATATAAATATGACATTCATTAGCAGGTGACAGTGAACATTGTCCGAATAACCCGAGAAACCCGAGAAAACCACTGTCACCCGAGGCACTGTCACCCAATCAAATAGCTAGAAATTCACTTGAGGTGTAACAAATACAAATACGTGACACTAAATTATCAACAGACAAAATCAAACCGTAGACATGTTTTAACGGGCATACGAAAATATCCATAATATTACACACACAAAATGAATTATCGACAAATGTCTAACAAAACAACAATTGTATTCAGATGCCATCGAACCAAATATCAATAGTCCTACAGACTGTCGAATCAAATAAAGATAGTATTAAAGTAATGTAACCAAATATAAATAGTATATCAGACGCTATCGAACTAAATATAAATAGTATATCAGACACTATCAAAATAAATATAAATAGTAAATCAAACACTATCAAATCAAATATCAATAGAATTTCAGACAATATCAAAACAAATATCAATAGTATTTCAGACAATATCAAAACAAATATCAATAGTATTACAGTCGCTATGTAATCAAATATAAATAGTAAATCAGACACTATCGAACCAAATATAAATAGCATATCAGACATTATCAAAACAAATATAAATAGTAAATCAAACATTATCAAAACAAATATAAATAGTAATTCAGACACTATCAAAACAAATATAAATAGTAAATCAAACACTATCAAAACAAATATGAATAGTAAATTAAACACTATCAGAACAAATATCGATAGAATTTTAGACAATATCAAAACAAATATAAATAGTAAATCAAACACTATCAAAACAAATATCAATAGTATATCAGACACTATCAAAACAAATATAAATAGTAAATCAAACACTATCAAAACAAATATCAATAGTAAATCAAACACTATCAAAACAAATATAAATAGTAAATCAAACACTATCAAAACAAATATAAATAGTAAATCAAACACTATCAAAACAAATATAAATAGTAAATCAAACACTATCAAAACAAATATAAATAGTAAATCAAACACTATCAAAACAAATATAAATAGTAAATCAAACACTATCAAAACAAATATAAATAGTAAATCAAACACTATCAAAACAAATATAAATAGTAAATCAAACACTATCAAAACAAATATAAATAGTAAATCAAACACTATCAAAACAAATATAAATAGTAAATCAAACACTATCAAAACAAATATAAATAGTAAATCAAACACTATCAAAACAAATATAAATAGTAAATCAAACACTATCAAAACAAATATAAATAGTAAATCAAACACTATCAAAACAAATATAAATAGTAAATCAAACACTATCAAAACAAATATAAATAGTAAATCAAACACTATCAAAACAAATATAAATAGTAAATCAAACACTATCAAAACAAATATAAATAGTAAATCAAACACTATCAAAACAAATATAAATAGTAAATCAAACACTATCAAAACAAATATAAATAGTAAATCAAACACTATCAAAACAAATATAAATAGTAAATCAAACACTATCAAAACAAATATAAATAGTAAATCAAACACTATCAAAACAAATATAAATAGTAAATCAAACACTATCAAAACAAATATAAATAGTAAATCAAACACTATCAAAACAAATATAAATAGTAAATCAAACACTATCAAAACAAATATAAATAGTAAATCAAACACTATCAAAACAAATATAAATAGTAAATCAAACACTATCAAAACAAATATAAATAGTAAATCAAACACTATCAAAACAAATATAAATAGTAAATCAAACACTATCAAAACAAATATAAATAGTAAATCAAACACTATCAAAACAAATATAAATAGTAAATCAAACACTATCAAAACAAATATAAATAGTAAAT